AACTGGCGACAATTGCGCAGATCGCAACCCCAATGGCACCGCGAGGTCTCGAGGTGATCCGCGTGGGACCCACCTCCGCTGGGCCTCCCAGGAGCCCACGAAAGTGGCAACAATTGCGCAGATCGCAGCACCCAACCACCGCGAGGTCTCGAGGTGATCCGCGTGGGACCCACCTCCGCTGGGCCTCCCAAGAACCCACGAAAATGGCGACAATTGCGAAGATCGCAGCCCCAAGGGCACCGCGAGGTCTCGAGGTGATCCGCGTGGGACCCACCTCCGCTGGGCCCCCCAGGAGCCCACGAAAGTGGCGACAATTGCGCAGATCGCAGCCCCCACGGCACCGCGAGGTCCCGAGGTGATCCGCGTGGGACCCACCTCCGCTGGGCCTCCCAGGAGCCCACGAAAGTGGAGACAATTGCGCAGATTGCAGCCCCCAGGGCACCGCGAGGTCTCGAGGTGATCCGCGTGGGACCCACCTCCGCTGGGCCTCCCAGGAGCCCACGACAGTGGCAACAGTTGCGCAGACCGCAAAACCCCCTGGGGGCCGCGAGGTCCCGAGGTGATCCGCGTGGGGCCCACCTCCGCTGGGCCTCCCAGCAGCCCACGAAAGTGGCGACAATTGCGCAGATCGCAGCCCCCAATGGCACCGCGAGGTCCCGAGGTGATCCGCGTGGGACCCACCTCCGCTGGGCCTCCCAAGAGCCCACGAAAAGGGCGACAATTGCGCAGATCGCAAGCCCCCAAGGCACCGCGAGGTCCCGAGGTGATCCGCGTGGACCCACCTCCGCTGGGCATCCCAGGAGCCCACGAAAATGGCGACAATTGCGCAGATCGCAAGCCCCCAGGGCACACCGAGGTCCCGAGGTGATCCGCGTGGGACGTACCTCCGCTGGGCCCCCCAGGAGCCCACGAAAGTGGCGACAATTGCGCAGATCGCAACCCCAATGGCACCGCGAGGTCTCGAGGTGATCCGCGTGGGACCCACCTCCGCTGGGCCTCCCAGGAGCCCACGAAAGTGGCAACAATTGGGCAGATCGCAGCACCCAACCACCGCGAGGTCCCGAGGTGATCCGCGTGGGACCCACCTCCGCTGGGCCTCCCAAGAGCCCACGAAAGTGGAGACAATTGCGCAGATCGCAGCCCCCAGGGCACCGCGAGGTCTCGAGGTGATCCGCGTAGGACCCACCTCCGCTGGGCCTCCCAGGAGCCCACGAAAATGGCGACAATTGCGCAGATCGCAGCCCCCAGGGCACCGCGAGGTCCCGAGGCGATCCGCGTGGGACCCACCTCCGCTGGGCCTCCCGGGAGCCCACGAAAGTGGCGACAATTGCGGAGAAGAGGAGAGGGGAACACAGGAGACAGGAGAGGTGGAGGGGAGGAGGGGGGAGGAGAAGAAGGAGGCCGGGGCGACCACACTGCTCTCTTCAAAACGAGTACCCCACCATAGGAGGCTTGGGAGAAAATAGGAAAAACGCTCCCAGGAGCGGGCGGCGGCAGCGCCGCGGAGCGGGGCAGCGATCTCCGCCACGCGCTCCGCCGCCAGCCCGGGGGTCTTCGGCACGGACTCGGCTCCTGGCGGCAAGTGGAAACTCGCTGACGGCTCGCCGTCCGCCGCTGCCACGGATAGCAACTGCAGCACAGTCAAGCGCAGGGAAAGGCCATCGTGAAGCACGAGAAGGAACAGGTAATTACGACGACTCGGCTCCCGGCGGGAACTCGGAGCTCGCTGACGGCTCGCCGATCAAGCGCAGTGGGTGGGGGGTCTAGAAGCAGAACAAAAATGACATCAACATAGACTGTTAGCGCTCCGCACGGATTTCTTGGACCTACGCTGGATCCCCCTCCCTGGCGCGCGGAGAGCGCCGGGGGCGGCGCCAGAGGCGTCGCCGGGGGGACCCGAGCGCCGATGCAAGAAACCCGCGCTGCGAGCCAAAAGTGTATGTGTATGGCGGTTCTCCTTCCTCGAGGGTCATCGTGAAGCACGAGAAGAGGAGGTACAACGCTGAGGGGGCTGGGGCCTCCGCACTGCGCGCTGCCGCGGGACAGCCTCCTCCCGCCGGAGATGGAGGGCCAAATCGGAGAGGGGGCGGCACACCCCAATGAAAGAATTGGGCTCAAAACGACGGCATCCATAGGGGGGGAAGAGGAGGATCAGGTAAGATCCGCCGACTCCCGCTTGCCGGGAGCGCAAAAACTTGCGAGATAATTGGCTGTTTTGGACGCCCGAAGTGGGCACGGAAACAATGGGCACGATGCACCACAGCAAAAGTTGCCCCAAACCGACAGCGGCCGCTGTTGGGCAGGCGGCCTTCTGTCTCGAATGGACACAGGCCGCGGCGGCGTGGACAGCGAGTCTGGTTCAAAATGAACCGGAACTGCTGTTGGACATTTGTCCCCATTCTTTCCGTACCCATCTCGTTCGTGCAGAGCTGTCCCCGTCCCCCCTCCCCCTCCCCGGGGGCCCAACATGACGTTGGAGGGGGGGGGGGACGAGCTCCCCAACGCATCCCCGGAGCCCCTGGAGCCTGGCGCCTCTCCAGAGTTGGATTCCGTCGTTGGTCTGTTACTATAGAGGAAGCTATGAGGCAAACGTTGAAACACAGATTCAGCCAACCTGTGCATATGCAGTTTGTTGAAGAAAGACGGCATCAACGCGACGCCAAGGAATGTCCTAGACGCGAGCCTTTGGCCTAGACGCACGTCGCGCACAACTACCCAAATAGCGCAGTTCTGCAACCTGTAACTAGTTTCTGGGGGGGTGCACGGACACGCGAAACACCGATGAACTCAGCGTTAACTGGCAACTGCCTCACCCTCATGCCCCGTCCCCCGCCTCCTCCCGCATCCCCGCGCCTTCACCTCATCCTCCCCATGTCCGTGCTATTCCTCCCCCTCCTGATACCCCTCCCGCTCCTCTTTTCGCGCTCTCCAATGCCCTTTCATGTCGTCCCTCCTCGTCCTCCTCCGCCATGCGCGCTCCCCCATCATCCGTATCCTTGCCCTCCTCCCTCCCCTGCGCCCTGGCGCAGCGCATCCCCCGTCCGTTTGCCCACCCTCACTTTCCTCGTCCCCGTGATGCTGAAACCGAAGCTGCAACTCCTCCTGGGCCCATTTACGCCCCTCTCCTCCTCCCCCTTTCATCCCCCGGCCCCTTCGCCACCCCCCCTCTCGAATCCCTTCCCTCCCATGCCCCCTCATCCCTGACCCCCGCGCCGTCTGCCCCCCCAAACCACAGCCCCCTCCTGGACCAGCCGGGAGATCCACGGAAATTCCCACCCAGTGGCGACTCCAGCGAGTAGCGCGGGGCAAATGCACAGTTTGACACGCGAACTGTGTATCTCGCGAGCGTAGAACGCCCCCCCTGGACCAGCCGAGAGAAATGCGAATGTCCCCGCCCAATCGCCACCACCCGCGAGGAGCACACTCCAAATACACAGATGGGAACAAGATCTGTGTACACAGATCACACCACGATGTGTGTAAACAGTGGACCCGCGCACGCGATTACACAGTTGAAGACGCAATCTGTGTACACAGATCACACATTGATCTGTGCATTTCAAAAAGGTGAACGCTCGCCACCTCGAAGGTGCCCCTACTTTGCCAAACCAGAATCGAGATCGACATGCCCAGCCCGGGAGGAATGCAAATACACACTTGCCTGGCCCAGGGCGGCCCCGGGGGGGCTGCGAATACACAGTTCCCTGGCCCAGGGCGGCCACCGTGGGCTGCGGCGCCAAGGCGGCCGAATCTGTCCCGAATACATCCCTAGAGGGCCCCGATGGACCCGCAAGGCCCCGCAGCAGTCCGATAACACGAGAAGTGTCACATGTCACGGACCTCTGAACAAGCATAGCCTCAAGCGTCGCCATACAAACAGCTGCGCTGGCACGGGGGTGGGCTTTGCCGGGGGGCATGTATAATTTCGCTTTCACATGCTCGCGATGCGTTTGTGTTTGGCGGCCGCAGCCGCCGACGCTTGAAGTGCTCTCCGACAACTTGCTTTGGCACCCTCTACTTGGTTACGTCGCTGTGCTCGGACATCGAACGGGCGGTATAACGTCAACGCGGGCACGCGGCTCCAGGGACCTCGCTTGCCTTCGAGCAAGGAGGGAGGACGAGGTGAATCGACGGATGATGGAGCGGGGAGGCAAAGAAAAAAACGGAACGGGGAGCAAGGGGGGGCAATGGGCGCTCTCCCGCCCGAGCCGCGGACGCTTCGACCCCCGTCCAGGGGGCGAGACAGGAGGACGAGGGAGCAAGGAGGAGAAGGACGACGGAAAACACCATAAATGTGATCCACATGTATACCAGATGCTGACGGTTGGGGTGCGCGTATTTTCGAGGCACTTCAAGCCCGCCCCATGCGGAAATTCACTGATTCCTCCCAACTGTGTAAACACCCTGCCCTCTGTACCCCCCTCCTATAGAACTGCCTCACAACAGAGGGGCACTGGATTCCAACTCCAGAGCCCCACGCGACGCTTCGAGAGGTCCCGAGAGGGCCCCAACGAAACGCCCAAGAAAGTCCAGGAGACCGTCCAGGATTGGCCAGGGTAGCCCCACGCAGTCCAAGCAGGCCTCGAGACGGCCCACGACGCGCCCAAGACGTCCAAATAGTGTTCCCAGAGGACCGCAGGGAAGGCCCCAAGCAGCGAAAGTCGCCCCATCCCTTCAGAAGAAGCATTTTCAGCATACTCGCCTTTTGCGTTTTTGGCCATCGCTCGGACGTCCATTCCCTGTGTTTTTGTTCGGTGTCGTGCGTGGCTGCTTCGCCAAATCATCAAGGATGCTCCTCGATGGTCCTCGCCGAAAGAAAAATGCACACGCCCGAGCGATGCCAGGGTCTTGAGAGCGTACGAGACGGCTCGAGGGGCTCCCGGGATCGTCTCAAGTTCGGTTCGCCCCAAGACGGCCCAAGCAGGCCCCCAAGCTGGCCCCAGGGGCCCCCGAGACGGTTCAAGAGACCCCCAAGAGCGAGGCCCGAGCTGGCCCCAGGGGCTCCCAATTCGGCCCAAGAGAGCCCCAAGAGAAGCCCCAGAAAGTGAATCCGAAGCGATATCTCGGACCTCTCCCCCCAAGATGAATCCAAGAGCCCCCCAGGTGCCTCTCTGGCCGCCCCCGCGACGCCCACAAGAGATCCCCCATAGGTACACAAAGGCCCCCAGGTGCTTCAATTAACCAGCCAAGAGGCTGCCGAGAGGCATCCCAAGAGACTCCAACATGCCCCCAACATGCCTCCAAGATGGTTTCTCGGGGGTCGGCGGAACGGCGCAAGCCTCTTGAACCCGCCCGCCCACCGGGCTGAGGGGCGTGTGCGACTTAACTACAGAGCTTTAGCCCCCCTCTCTTTTCCCCCCCCAGAGGCCTCCGCCACTCCGCCGCCCGGCTGCGGCAATGCCCTTTTTCGGTTTCCAAAACGGCTCCACGACGGCGTCCAAGACAAGCTCGATCTTGGTATCGTTCTGAAGACGCTGCCGGGGCGCCTGTGGGCTCCACTTCGACCCCGTCGGGGCCCCTTCTTGGCCTCCAATATCCGCTCCTGGAGCCCTCGACAGCGCCTCTTTGGCTCATTCTCGCCGACACATGGGGATGTCAAAAAAAAAAAAAAAAACAAAAAAAAAAACTATGGTTTTGGCCTGATTTCGGCTTCCCCGGGGCTGTCCAGGACGCTGCTTACAATTGACATCCGGGCTCGCGTGCGTCATTTTTCATCACTCCCTTTTGTTCGCCGTTTTTGGGCGCGCTCGGGGGTCCATTTTGGATGGTGCGGGGCCCACATTGGGCCGTCAAACGGACCCCAAACCAGGTCAGACCCCGCCCGGTTTTTACTGCAAGACGGACGCGGTTGCGACCCAACGCGGAAGCGCTGTCGCTTGAGCCGCCCTGGGTTTCACCCAGACCGCCTCGGGGCCTTCTTAGCCTCTTTTTGGGCCCTTTTCGGGTTCCTCTTCGGCCTTCTTGGCGCCTTGTCGGCCAGATCACCGCCAGGGCAACCGTCGGGGCAACCAACCGCTCGGTCAACCGCCGAGACTAGCAACGGGAAAAGAATCCGGGCAACCGTCGGGACAAGCACCCAGACATCTACCACGGCACACCTCGGGCCAGTCATCTGGTCAGCCATTGGAGAAGCCACTCCTAGAGCCACCTTCCCTGCCATCGGATCAATCGACTGCGCTAGCGCGACAAAACCACGAGACTGCCACGCCACCGTATGACACCAGCCCACCACGGGAGCATGCCGCCACTGACACGTGCTCAGGCCCGCACGCCGACACAAAACGCTACGCGCCCACTCACGTCTCTCAGACATCGGGCGCGCGTGACACCCGATGCGGACCTATTGCTGTCTTGCCCCGCTCCCCCACCTCGCCGTCGTCAGGGGGGGCACAGAACCCTCAATGCACCACCAGCAGCGGCAGCACCACCACTGCGACCAGCACCAGCAGCAGCAGCAGCAGCAGCAGCACCACCACCACCACTGACAACAGCAGCGGCACCACAAGCAGCAGCAGCACTAACACCGGCACCATCAGCACCAGCGCCAGCAGCGCCAGCAGCAGCAGCAGCAGAAGTAGGACTAACAGCAGCAGCGGCACCCGCACTGCACCGTACCACCAGCAGGAGCGACAACAGCAAAACCAGAAGCAGGAACCAGCCGCAGCACCACCACGAGGCATGCCTGAGCATAGTAGGCGATATCATAGGAAGAAAGAATGCGGGACAAAAACAACAAAGCACACGACTTATATGAATTCCTGCCTATGTGTATCCCGTCATGGAGCCGTCTTCGCCTCGTCCGGCGAGAACTGGAATGGGCGGGCGGTGAACGCGAAGCGTCTTTAATAATATGGAATATGCTAGGGCACTGTGAGATAATAACGAAACAAGAAAAGATAAGAGCTAAACTGACACTTCAGGGTCCTGCCTTTTGCAAGGGGCGTGCACAAGACACCACTCGGCATGCCAACCCGAGGAGGAGGAGGAGGAGGAAGAAGAGGAGGAGGAAGAGGAGAAGGAGGGGGAGGAGGAAGAGGGAGAGCAGGAAGAGGGAGAGGAGGAGGAGGAGGAGGAGGCGGAAGAGGAGGAGGCGGAGGCGGAGGAGGCGGATGCAGAGGAGGTGGAGGAGGTGGAGGAGGAGGAGGAGGAAGCGGAGGAGAAGGAGGCGGAGGCGGAGGAGGCGGAGCCGGTGGACGCCGGCTGCAGGAGCCTGGCGGACGGGCCTACTATGGCATCCCGCGGTCACCGAGCATGGCATCGCGGCCACCCGCACCTCCTGCCGCGCAGGTGCGGGCCCGTGCAGCAGCCCGCTTCCTCCTCCTCCACCTCCTCCTCCTCATCCTCCTCCGCCGCCTCCTCCTCGTCCTCCAAACAAGCTGTTCCCCCTCCTCCTCGTCCTCCTCCTCCTCCTCCTCCTCCTCCTCCCCCCCCCTTCCTCCTCCTCCCCCTCCTCCTCCTCCTCCTCCTCCTCCTCCTCCTCCATCCCCCTCCTCCTCCTCCAAATTCTTCTCATTTCCCACTCCAACTCCTCCTCTTCTTCCTCCTCCTCCTCCTCCTGCTCCTCCTTTCCTGCTCGTGCTCCTCCTCCTCCTCCTCCTCATCCTTCTCCTCCTCCTCCTCCTCCTCCTCCTCCTCCTCTTCCTCCTCCTCATCCTCCTCCTCCTCCTCCTCAGCATCATCAACATCATCATCATCAGCATCATCATAATCAGAATCATAATCATAATCCTCCTCCGCCACCTCCTCTTCCGCCTCCCTCCTCCTCCTCCTCCTCCTCCATCTCCGCCTTTTTGAACCTCTGAGCGGAATTCGATCCTAGAACTGCAGCGTCTTGCCTCCTCCTCCACCTCCTCCTCCTTCTCCTCCTCCTCCTCCTCCTCCTCACTCTCTTCCTCTGCCTCCTCCTGCTCGATGGACGGCCCCTGGGAGCAAATCTCTTCTGGACACCCCGCGGTGCGCCTGCAGGACGTCCGCACGGCCCGAGATTACCTCGTCCGGGTGCCGCGAGGTCGCCCGCGCCGGGGCGGCCCCGCCACGGAGCCCCACGGCGGGAGGGAGCGGCCGAGGGGAGAAGGCAGGCTCGGCGCGCTTGCGCCAGATCCGGCATCCTACAGCCGGACTCGATTGGAGAGGACACGCGCGAGGACACAAGACCCTTCCGAGGGCCACATTGCCATGGGCCATAGGAGTGCAGGGGGCATGGGCCGCGAGGTGCACGACACAATGGTACCCTTGCTTTGGCAGGGTCGACCTGCTAATCAGGGCCGACTGTACACATCCCACCCATCCCTCCCCATGCGCTGATCTCTGTCCGCGGACGCTTGTCGTAGACGACCTGAAATTCCAAGAGGAGAGTACTGTTCGTATTGAGTAATTGCGGGGGCAGAGGAGAAGCGGCAGCCCAAGGGTTCCCGACAAACTCCTGGCTGGCTCCACAGGAAGCTCCACTCGAACGGCGTCGTTGGCGTCACAGCGTTGGCCTGCTCGGCGGCGGCAACGCCCCAACCAATCCAAACCGTACGCCTGGTGACCCGCTCTGTCTCCACGCAACACCTTATTCCCGCTTCCACCCTTCTTCACAACCGATGTTCTTATAAGCCGATGTTCCGATATCGTTGGGCATTCCTCAGCTCACGACAAGTACTGGCCTCTCTTTCGAGTCTCATTGTAAAACAATTCGGCCTACGCGAGTGAGCACTGCGCGTCTGGATGAACTGGGTCAGCGAGCAGTGAGTATCCGTTGGGCGGAACACCTAACAAGGCATGCTCGAGTGATCTCGACCTTTGGGGCCCATTCGATCCCTGAAGCAAGATCGGGCAATGCCCACGTATCCGAGGGCTTGTATGCGAACTGATTGCTCGGGCACGCGCGCCGTGCGCGCACTCGGTCTGGTACTGTCTTGCATAGGCTGAGCACGGTCAAAATCTTGATGGCGCCCACACTCGCGGAACAATTATGTTCGTTCACTAGTAGTGCCCAAACTCGTCCATGTCCTTCGCAACACCACACGCGACATGGACTCAACCAAGGGAAAACCCGATCCGTGTACAACGAGCGTAAATAACAGCGGGCCCATACAAGGCTTGTGCTTGTTGTGCGTGGTAGCCAAATGGGGAACATCTGCAGAGAAGTTGTACGACCCACGATTGGACATCTATGAAGCGACGCCAAAGAAGAGGAAGCAAAGGGGGAAGACACAACGGCGTCAACGGCGATAAAGGCGCCGAAATCGAGGAGGCGTCAATGAGAAATGTGCGTGATATTACGGGCAAACACAAGCAACATCACAAGGAGGAGACTGAAGCCTACGTACACGGTGTGTCGAATGCCATGCGACCGAGGACGACGAGGAGAGTTTTGCCATACCACCTGTGCAGCAGCGATCCTGGGTTGCGGCATATAGACGTACAGCCATCGTGCCCCCAAACCTGCAAGACCCCTGCACAGGCCCGAAGTCTTCGCGGCCGCATGCGCGCGCGCTCGTGCAGGGCGTGAGACGCAAGGGACAGCCAACGGACGCGTTGGTAGACGCGGTGGCGGTTCATTCGCCCAGTCGTGTGCGAAAATTGTTCGCCTTCACGAAGTCGCACGAGATTATCATTCGCACGTGGCCCCAGTCTGTATGCGGATAACACGTCGCCCTGCTGGAACTCGCAGGAGCTCACGACAGCGGCGACACGTTGGTCACCGAGGTCAAGGGCGACGTCTAGTTTGGGTGCCCGCAATAGACCTCGCAGCAGCTCACGACAGCGGCGACCGATGTGCAACCTGTAGAGCCGAAAGAACACGAGGTCTGGTTTGGGCCCCCGTAGAGACGTCGCTCCTCTGGACATCGCATGAGCTCACGGAGACGGCGACGGCTGCCAAGTTCGCAGCAAGCAGGGGGGGGGCGAGGTATAGTCCCACCAGCCCCGAGAGCGTAGGTGATTCAGAGCATTTTTCCTTCCGACCTCATTACTCCCCTTCGGGGCGGGGTTGACCCACCTCTCTACCCCCTCCACAAGGATCGGGACCAGGGTTTCGCGGGTCGAAAGGGCGCCCAAGAAGGCCCAATACGCCTCACGGAGGGTCCACCTGCAAGTGGCCCAGGATGGCCTCCAAGATGGCACAACCTATTCCAACATACTTGGTACGACAGCGCAGCGCAAACCTCATGCACTCGCGCACACACGGCTGCACTATATGACCCAAGATAGCTCAATATGGCTTCCTGCGTTCACCCGACACGCCCTAACACTTGTCCAAGACGTCTCCAAGTGGTCTCGGAGCCTCCCAACGGGATCCCCAATTGCAGAATCCCTCACCCAACGACACCCTTGAGTCAGAAGACCCTGAACAGATTTGCACAGTTACACCGTGAAGGGCTCCGATGGGGGGGGGGGCACGATGGGGGTGCCACGATGCGGAGCCACCCGGTGGTGTCACGATGAGGTGCCGCGGGGGGCCAGAAGCTCTCACTGGGCGTTCAACCAATCATCAAATGGCCATCGCAGACACGCAAGTGTATGGAACTGCAGAATGATTCATTGATGACTGCCGTCTCGCATAGTCGCTTCCGACGGACCTCAGCGGCCTCAAAATGGCTCGAATATCGCGCAAGAGGCCTAAACAAACATCCGAAGAAACCTTCAAGAGACGATACGTCGTGATCCTGGGGGACAGTGCTATGCCACGTTTCCTTCTTTTGCATTCGCAAACCACTGAACACCTTAATTTGGTTGTTGGGTGGTTTGAACTGCTCAGGTGTGGGAGTGGGGGCTTCCTTCGGAGGCTGTGGGACTAATGTGGCTCAAATATGGCCCCAGATGCCTGAGGAATGCACCCAATCACCTGAAGACAAGTTGTCTTAGACAACTCCAGGAGGCAAGACTCACCCCAAGGCGGTTTGTTCGATTCGTGCAGTGGCTTCAAATGAGTGCACACTGGTTTTCCCTCGTCTCATATGTTCTCGTCCGACGGGATTATGATGCCTCAGGATGGCTCCAAAATCACGCACGAGAGCCTTCATGGGGGCCCTTAGAAGCTTCAAACCTGCCCCGAAGGCTTCCGAGAGCGCTGCAAGAGCGTTCCAACGGAGGATCCAAGAGGGGATCGCTCGGGATCCAGAGGGGCAGCGCCAATTAGGCCCGCCCCTTCGTTGATCGATGTCCTCCAGAGTGGCCCGAGCAATGCCCACTTGCTTTTCCAAGAAATCTTCAAAAGGCTCCCAGATCGAACGATCCGCGACGGCCTTCTTGGTTGACTCTTTGGTATACCCAGCAGATCCTACACTTCCCTGGTAAATCCAACGCAGCCTGCGGATCGTTTTTGGATGGACTGGTGGGAATGCGCGAAACATCTTTTTGGATACCCGTGAGCGTCACTCCGCAGGACCCCCCGGGAGCTGACAGAAGCGACGACGTATGCGCAGCTTGCGGCACCAAGGGATGGTGAGGTCTAGATTGGATCCCCTTGAGATGGAACCCGGCTGGACCTCTAAGGAGCTTACGACAGCGGCGAAAGTTGCGCGGCTGACACCACCAGGGAGGGCACGGTGTGGATTGGACACTCGTAAGACGTCATGCCGCTGCACGAAGCTCACGAAAGTGGTGACACTTGTGCAGTTGACAACATTTGGCAGCACCTATGACGGTGAGGTATAGGTGCAGGTGTGAGGTAGGAGGCAGGAAGGGAGGAGGCGGGAGGAAAGGTAGAGCAACTGTGCTCTGTTTGAGGCGAGTGCCCAACGCAGGGGGATTGGGAAGCGCAGCATCAAAACATGCTCCACACGTTACGATTCCCTGCGAGCCCATGCGTGACACCTTAGGGCGAGTGCTAACGCATCACGGTTCTGCAATGACGCACCAGGATCTGGCCGTGACTCAGGACTACTGCCCCACAATACCCGAGGAAGTGCTCGCCGTGCCGGGGGTCGGCTGTTCCGAGCTGCGAGCTGAACGCACGCAGTCAACCAAATGTGTCCCCGAAGCCAGTCGCTACCGAAGGCAGGCTCAGACAGAACCTAAGCACCTCAGTGAAGTCGGGAGCTGGGTGGCCAGGGCAGGCGCTGGAAAGGGCTGGAGGAGCTGGAGAGGGCTTCACCTCTGCTTCCAGGGGCGGCGTCGACGACCCCCTGCTCCTGGCACCCCCTAGCGCCGCCTACAGAGCGGCTGGCAGCACGCGCTCCTCCAGCGGAAGGCCCAACCCAGCAAGAAGCAGCCCATGCAGCCCACGCCGCCCAAACTGCGCGCCGCCAGGCGACTCGTGACCTCCGGTGAGCGGTGGGCCATCAGATGAGTCCGAGTGGGTCTGAGTGAGGATGTGCGCGTCAGAGCGAGAGAGTTTGAATGTGTATGAATGCGTCTGCGTCTGAGGCTAATTCCCTGGGTGGGTATGAGTGGGTCTGAGAGTTTGAGACTGAGTGAGTCCGAGGGGGGAAGCGATGAGTGAGTCTGCGATCGTCACCATCGCAGACTCATCACATCGTCAACATGAGCATCATCATTTACAATACCATCGGCATCATCCTCACCTTCTTCGTCGTCATGAGCATCATACTCATCATACTCGTCAGTAGTGCCATCATCATCAGCATCAGCATCAGCATCGCCATCATCAACATCCACATCAGCACCAGCATCATCAGCATCATCAGCATTAACACAGTAATCAGCATCATCATAGCCATGCATTCGTTTATTCATGCATCAAAGTCAAAGTCAACATCAACATCACCAGCATTGGCATCATCATCAGCATCAGCATCGTCATCATCATCACCATCTTCAACATCATCATCTTCATCATCATCAACCTCAACATCATCATCATCATCATCATCATCATCATCATCATCATCATCATCATCATCATCATCATCATCATCATCATCATGATCATCTTCATCATCATCATCATCATCATCATCATCATCATCATCATCATCATCATCATCATCAACGTCATCATCAACGTCATCAACACCATCATCATTGCCACCACCATTTCCGAAACTTGGAAAACACCAATCCATCGATACCGCTACCCCCAGAATTCTCCCGGGGTGGGTTCTGACCAGGATTTCAAGGCGAATGTAGCGGTGGCGACGAGGGCCTCACAGAAGGCCAAGGCAGGAAAAAACGAAGAAAAGGTAGCTGCATGGGTACCTTGTCAACCCCTTATCACCATCCTCAGTATCATCGTCACCCAAATCCACATCATTCACCGCTGCCTTGAGGAAAGCGCATGAAAGAAAAATGTCCTGAGAGAGACGGGTCTTGGGCGCGAATGAATGGGGGGCGAGGAATGGGGGGGAAAGCAGATGCCTGTTCGGGCCCAAAAGGCCCACCTCGGGGGCCCTAAGAAGCCGGTTTAGGGGCCCTTTAGGGCCCCTGTTCGGCAGCCTTCGCTTCGCCCCCATTTATCTCCCCTCCACTGCGCGTCCTCCGAAACGGGTCCCAAAGGATTTCCCCCCGACCGACATCTCATCCCGAGCCGTCTTCTGACGGCCCCGCGGGGCCCGGGGAGGGCCCCCCCGAGAGCCCGAACGAAAGCAAGACACATCAGGATCCATGGTCCATGGGCGACTGGGGGTTCGATGCCTCCATCCCCCCCCCCTTGGCGAGTTCCCCCCTGTCGTAGAAGAAGACGATCTATATATATATATATATATACATATATATATATATATATATATATAACACTCGGACTTCCGCGCGGCCTCCTGGGATCGGCGCTGCTGCACGCACCCCTCCCTGGCGCGCGGAGCGCACGAGGGCCACAGGGGCTCTCCAGCGCGAATCCGAGAAGCCCGCGCGGAACTCGGAACATTGATCCGTCGGTCGAAAAGGGTGGGTAGAAGCATGAAGTAGTGACTGCCTACCACCACACCCCCAATCCCGACCAGAAGACCCGAATTTCGCCCGAAATTCGGGTTGGGGGGGTACGGGCTCCATGTGCTTCTTCAATGTTCCTCGACCCCCCCCGCCCACTGGAAATGGAGGCAAATCGGGACCTTCGGGTTGGGTTGGGTTAGTTTGGTGGGCGGTGCAGTAGGAAGGCGGCGAAAGTAGACTGGGCTTCCGCCCGCCCACTGAAGAGGAAGAAGGGAAATCACTCGATCATTGAAGCAGGAAGGCGCTTTCAAAGGAATTGGGTAGCTGGGAATCCAAAGACACCTCTTTCCAACGACGCACGGGTAAGCTTACGAAGTTGTTTCTGCTTATTTTTCTTCTTTTTCTTCTTCTTCTTATTATTATTCTTCTTCTTCTTATTCTTCTTCTTCTTCTTCGACTGTTAACACCCCTCCTGAGGGGTAGCCTCCCCCCCCCCGACATGCGACGTCCTGCTTTCTCCGATACGCAGCCCCCAGAAACCCGGGGCCGGCTCTTTTTAATCTCGAGTGGTTTTGATGGTCTGGTGCCTGGCGAGGGAGCCGAGAAGCCGGACAAGCCCCCCAACAGAACACCGTCGTGATTCACGCGAGCATGGCTGGCCCCCTGCTGCCGCCCCTGAGGGGCAGCGCGAAGGCCTCGGCCGCCCGCGTTCTGGTCGCCAGCGCTCCAGCCACGCGCTCCGAGCTCCGCGAAGGCCGCGAGCGGCTCACAGGCCAGCGCCGCCTGGCGGCCGGTCGGAGCTGGGATCAGGGCGCCTCCTCCGCCTCCACCTCCGCCTCCGCCTTCTCCTCCTCCTCCTCCTCCTCCTCCTCCTCCTCCTCCTCCTCCTCCTCCGCCTCCTGTTCCCTCCCTCCTCTCCCTCCCTCCCATCCTCCTCCTCTTCCTCCTCCTCCTCCGCCTCCTCCTCCTCCTCCTCCCTTCTCCGCCCTCTCTCCGCCCTCCTCCTCCTCCTCCTCCTCCTCCTCCTCCTCCACCCGCCTCCTCCTCCTCCTCCTCCTCCACCTCCTCTCTCCTCTGCTCCTCCTCCTCCTGGTCCTCCTCCTCTTATTCCTCCTCCTCCTCCTCCTCCTCCTCCTCCTCCTCCTCCTCCTCCCTCCCTCCCTCCCCTCCCTCCCTCCCTCCCTCCCTCCCTTCCTCCCTCCTCCCTCCCTCCCTCCCTTCCTCCTGCCCTCCCTCCCTCCCTCCCTCCCTCCCATCCTCCTCCTCTTCCTCCTCCTCCTCCTCCGCCTCCTCCTCCTCCTCCGCCCTTCTCCGCCCGTCTACGCCCTCCTCCTCCTCCTCCTCCTCCACCTCCTCTTCCTCCTCCTCCTCCTCCTCCTCCGCCTCCTCCGCCCTTCTCCGCCCGCCTCCGCCCTCCTCCTCCTCCTCCTCCCTCCTCCTCCTCCTCCCCTCCTCCTCTCTCCTCCCTCCTCCTCCCTCCTCCTCCTCCTCCTCCTCCATTCCTCCTCCTCCTCCTCCTCCTCCTCCTCCTCCTCCTCCTCTCCATCATCCTGACCACCCTCCCCCTCCGCCTCCTCCGCCTTCGCCTGCATTTCATCCTCCGCCTCCCCCTCCTCATCATCATCGTACCCATTCTTCTCATCCTCATCCTGATCCTCCTCCTCCCCCTCCTCCGCCTTCTCTTCCTCATGCTCCTCATTCTGCTCCTCCTCCGTTGCTCCTCCTCCCCCCCTCCTGCTGACGTGGAGAGCCAAAATCGCTTTAGGTGCGCAGGGGGGGGGGGGCCGGGAGGGGGCCCAGACATGCTCGCGTCGTGACAAGAGTCACGGCGGACGGTTTGCGTCGCTGGGCCCTGGGCCCGCCAGCAAAAACTCCCCGAGATTGCTTGCCATCGCTCGGACGCCCATTCCCCATGCATGTTTGGATTCGTGCGTATTTGTCTCGCTGTGATCCCGGACGCTCCTTGCTGGCCCTCGCCGAGAAAAAATGCCACGCGTCCGCGCGATGCCAAGATGAGACGCGGGCTCCCGGGAAGCGGTCCAGATCTCTAGGGGTCCACATTACGAAACAATACCCGTCGGGCGGAAGAAGTGGGTAGAAGCATTGCGGTAGGAGGGCGCTGGACGTAGACTGGGCCTCCGCCCGCCTCATGAAGAGGAGGCACCAGTGTCGCTGGGTGCCCTCGTGGCATGCCAGGAAAACAGGCGGGATGGCAGCCCGATCGTCAACACAGCCCGACGGGGCTGTGGGAGAGACTCTTGCCTTAAGTGTGGCCTGCCAATCACAGCAGGTGCGGGCCCGCCTTACCACCCCTGAGAGGCCCAATGGGGTTACTCGAAGGTGAAGGTGCCCCGACGGGGGGCGCGGGAACGAAAGTCCTCGGGCAGTGGGGTCTCCGCTGTTTGAGGCCGGCGGCCAAGTGCGGGTGGTGCTGGTGGCCGTGTCTCGGGGTGGCATCTCGAGGCACCTCGAAAAGGCGGCGCAGATGTGACGCCTGGGGCGTGCCTGTGCTGCCGATCATAATGCGGAGTCCGACTGCATGTGAACTCATGCAAGTACTTTGGGCACCTCCCTTCCGGTTGTGTCGCCCAGGTGTTCTGTCCGGGCACGCAGAGCCTCCTGAAGAGGAGGGAAGAGGGACCACCGTTTGACTCGTGAAGTACGAAGAGGCGGCTTCATGCAAGTTGCGCATGTCCCTCTACAGGAATTCGCAAGAATAACAAATAGTCAGGTGACGATGTTTCGTGCTCATTTTACCACAGTTAATGATGCGTTTTGAATAGTTTCGTGTTTTTCTTCCATGCCCTCTTGTAGGAGGGCATGCCCGACCTGACGCTGAAGTCGGCTGGAATCTGGGAATCCAGAGATGCCTGCCTTCGGCGACCTGCGTGCACACGAGTCTGGGATGAGGGGGTGCGGGAAAGGGGGGGGGCCTCGGTTGCGCCACTGGGGGGCCAGAGAGGAGGGGGGCCCGCGGCTCCGTGGGCGCGCGGGCACGCAAGGGGCACGCAAGGGGCACGCCTCGGGGAGCTCTCGTGGCTCCAGCCGTGATAATTATCCCTTCCCCGCCCCCTTGGTCTAGGTCGGGCGTGTCCTCCAACAGGTGGGTACTGGAAGGACAACAAAACATAATCCAAACGTAATCTTTTGTATCCTTGAATATTTCTCCTGTGGAGGGACATGCCCGACTGCAACCTTGGTCCTCAACGCCCCTGCAGAGGGGAGAGGTGGGACAGATTCACTGGCAGCTCACACGATAAGAGGCCCCCCAGAGGCCTCAAGAAGCCCCCAAGCGGCCCAGAAGAGACCCCAGTCAGCCCCCAGGCGGCCCCCAAGAGGCCAAAGAGACGCCCCCAAAGAGACGCTCCAAAGCTGTCTCCAAGAAGCTCCGCCAGGTCCCCGAACCGCTCCGAAGACGCCGACAGCAGCCCCCAAAGAGTGCCCCAGAAAAGCCCAGGACGCGCCTCAACCGTGGCACGGCGCAGGAGCCTCTGGAAGAAAGACGCTCGGGGGTCCGCCGCGCGTGGCACTCCCGGACGTGCGATGCCCCGAATGATATGCCATTGGGCCCCCCAGAAGCCCCGGCCCTTTCCCAGGGCCGGCAAGAGATCCCTGGAGTCCCGAAAGGGTGCGGTGACAGACCGTGCGGAGACCTCGAGATCCCCCAAGACCTCACCGCACGGTCCGTCACCGCACGGTCCTGGGACAGTGGAGGCCCCTGTCGCCCGAGACGTCCTCGGAGAACGACCCGAGTCCCAAGACCGTGCGGTGGCTCCGAATCCCCACCGACTCACCGCACGGTGTGGTCACCGCACCGTTTGGGGCCCCCCGAATATCCGGGGCCATATTATAAACGGCCTCGGGGCCCGGCGAGGGCCCCCAGGGGACGAAAACTGCCAAACTCGATGATCCTCAGAACGTGTGTCAGCTCCAAAGTGTGTTTGTCCATCGAGGCCCTTCGATACGACGCAGGCGACGTAATAATCTACAGGTTGGGCTGAAGGGGGCAAACACACATTGAGCTAACACACGTCCTGAGGATCATCGACAACCCCCCCGTCATATTTTGGAGGGCCAGTTCGGGCCCCAGGACAAGACAACAAAAGAAAACCTGCATGAAGCACCTACGCGGGCGCAGCGAGTGCGCGCCGGGGCGCCAACATGGTCACTCATGGGTCGAAGTCGGTGTCGCATGTGGCCGTGCGTGGGCCCTGGAAACGACAGGGCCGTTTTTTTACCAGTTCCGTTTTGCCGTTTTTGTTGCCGGTTCCGACGCCGTTGTTTTACTGGTTCCGTCGCCGTTTTTTGACCGGTTCCGCCTTCGGTTCCAATCCTGGAGCCGTCTTTTTGCCGTTCCCGGTCGCCGTTTTTTTGCCGTTTCCGGACAGGAGGAAGAACGGGCCCCTGGGGCGGAGCTTGAGGTGCGGGGGCCGACGGCACCAGCAAGTCGAGCCGCCGCCGGATGTCTACAGAGAGGAGGAGATGGAGGAGGAGGAGGAGGAGGAGGAGGAGGAGGAGGAGGGGGAGGGAGAGGAGGAGGGGGAGGGGGAGGGAGAGGGGTAGGGGGAAGGGGAGGATGGGGCCTTTTCCTGCTGCCTGGGGGCCGGGGCTCGCTAGATATATGTAGCACCCGACAGATGCGGATAAGACTCTGGAGAAGCCCGCCGCAGGCGCCAAAGTTTCACAAATTATGCGACGACCCCGCCGCAGGCGCCGATTTCGTCGTTAAACCAATGTGGGTAGGTCGCGGGTTGGTCGCAAATGGGTCGCGGCTGGATCGCGGGTGGGTCGCGGGTGGGTCGCGGGGTGGGTCTCAAATGGGTCGCGGGTGGGTCGCGGGTGGGTCGCGGGGTGGGTCGCGGGTGGGTCGCGGGTGGGTCGCAAGTGGGTCGCGGGTGGGTCGCGGGTGGGTCGCAAGTGGGTCGCGGGGTGGGTCGCAAGTGGGTCGCGGGTGGGTCGCGGGGTGGGTCGCGGGGTGGGTCGCGAGGTGGGTCGCGGGGTGGGTCGCGGGTGGGTCGCGGGTAAGTCGCGGGGTGGGTCGCGGGTGGGTCGCATGGAGAAATATAACAACAACAACAACAACAACAACAACAACAACAATCATTTTACCCGAACGCTCAGTGTTCTCACCAGTGCCAGGGTTTTCATGCGACGCGAGACAATACCCCCACTTCGTGGGGGGGCAGTTCAAGCTCTACCAAATATCCAAACGACTCTTCGCGACCACCCAAACCCAGCTTCCCGCCCTATGACGTTGGGACACTTCACTTCGTGGCGTGCGGACGACCGTGGCTACTACACTGGCGTGGGGTACACACCCACAGAACTTGGTCACTTATTCGGGGCGCGCGTGTGCCCAGCATCCTGCAATTGTGACATACAATACATGACACAGACAGACAGAGAGAGAGACAGAGAGCAGACAGAGAGAGAGACAGAGAGAGCGGAGTTGGTCACATTTTTGGGGCAAGTTCCTGAGATCGTCGTGTTTTTTGTTGGTCTTGCGCGCGCGAATGTCCACTTTACTTTTTTTTGCAAGGGAGTATTGAAATTTGATTATGTTAGAACAAGAAAAAGTAGCTCGCGCGAGCTCATGTAACATAAATGTTGAAAAACCATTGGTTTTGTGGGAGTCGGACAGCGCGCGCGGGATGAAATTTGGACATTTTTTTTTGAAAAACCATTGGGTTTTTGATGTTTTTATGTTGAAATCGTTACGAAACCTAAGGTTCTGGAAGGATTTCGTCTTGCGCGCGCGAATGTCCACTTTACCTTATTTTTTG